GGAATCGGGAACTTTGCAATAGCTTCCACTTTAGCCATTATGGGTGTAACATAACCTTGACCTACTTTATGACCTAAATACTCTACATAAGCATGACAAAATTCGCTCTTCTCAAGGTTCACAGTTAAGTTTGCTTTAGCTAAAATGAAAAATAAAGCACGCATGATTCGGATATGTTGTCCCATGTGTTGCTGTATATGATGACATCATCAATGTAGGCCTCGCATCCCTCGAGGTTTTGAAGAAGGGAATGAATCATCCTTTGGAATGTAGCCGGTGCGTTTTTCATGCCAAAAGGCATTACTTTATACTGGTAAAGTCCATCTGGTGTAGCAAAAGCAGATATTTCTTTTGCTCTTTCTGTTAACGGCACTTGCCAGTAGCCTTTCAACAGGTCAAATTTACTGACAAATTTGGTTTCCAATGCTGTCAATACAGTCATCAATTCTAGGTATTGGATATGAATCAGTTTTGGTAACAGAATTCCCCTTTCTAAAGTCTGTACATAATCGGTACGAACCGTCTTTTTTTGGGTAAAGAATACATGGTGAGCTCCAATCACTTTTACTAGGTTCAACAATGTCATTGTCCAACATGTACTGCACTTCCCTTCTTAGGTACTGCAATTTTATTGGATTCAGACGGTACGGATGTTGTTTGATAGGCAGAACGTCACTCAATATGACATCATGACAAGCTGCATTAGTTTTTTTTTGGAACATCCGAAAAGATTTGATGATACTCATTCATCAAGGTTCTTTTTGATGAATGTTCAAATGCCCAAGTTTCATAAAAATCAGCCAAAATTTCTATTTTTTCAAGCGGACACTCTGATTACAATCTTTCTTTTTATTTCTACACTCGTATCACTTTCAATACAATTTTGAACAGTCTTAGCATTGGCCAAAGTGGAAACTGGTTTTCAGAATTTCGGTCACACCTTTCAAAATACTTTTTTAACATGTTAATGTGACAAACCCTTTCTTTTTAGTGCCCTGGTGTCTTAACTACATAGTTTACATCACTAATCTTGCTTTCAATTTCATAAGGGCCATAAAATCTGGCCTGTAAAGGATGACCAGGAATAGGTAAAAATACAAGAACCTTATCACCTGGCTTAAACACCCTATTTCTAGCATCTTTGTCATACCACATTTTCATTTTCAACTGAGAACTCTTCAAATTTTCTTGTGCTAATTAAAAAGCCTAATTTACAAGCATTGTAAAGTTTTTCTTTAAAATAGACACATAATCTAAAAGTTTAAGATCACTAGTCTCAGTCAGCCACTTTTCCTTCAGCAATTTAAAAGGACCTCTAACTGTATGACCGAACACCAATTCAAAAGGACTAAACCCAAGAGACTCCTGGACTGCCTCTGTGCAGCAAATAGTACAAGATGAACCCCTTCATCCCAGTCTTCTCAACTGGTAACAATAGGTCTTCAGCATTGTTTTTAGGGTTTGATGAAAAGTTCTAGCGCTCCCTGGGACTCAGGATGATAAGCAGTTGATCTATATTGCCTTATACCCAACTCATGCATGACTTGCTGGAACAACCCCGACATAAAATTTGAGCCTTGATCCGACTGAATTCCCTTTGGGGTGCTCCTACAAAACTGAAAAACTTGGTTAGGGCCTTAACTATCTTTTGCCTTTATTTTCCCTAAAAGAGGTATGGCTTCAGGAAATCGAGTGGATGTACACATAATGGTAAGTAAATACTGGTTTCCAGATCTAGTCCTAGGCAAAGGTCCTACACAATCCACCAACACTCGACTAAACGGTTCTTCAAAAGCTGGAATTGGTTGGAGAGGGGCGGTGGTATTTTCTGATTTGGTTTACCTACCATCTGACAGACATGGCATGACTTGCAAAACTTCGAAACATCCTTTCTTAGCTTAGGCCAATAAAAATGACTCAAAATCCTATTATAAGTCTTATTGATACCTAAATGACCAGCCATAGGTGTATCGTGGGCTAAACTCATGACATCTCGATGATAAGCAGCTGGGACCACTATCTGGTGAACAACACGCCACACTTCATCTGGAGAAGCGTCAGGTGGTCGCCATTTTCGCATAAGGATGCCATCTTTCATATAGAAGCATTCCCCAACTTTAATAGCCTCTTCTGGGGGAAAGTGCCCTCTTATAAGTTGAATGATATCTGGGTCTTTATGTTTTCAGAGAGTAAACGTTCTCGGCTGAGGATGTCCTTGCCTTGGCTAACTAGTGGATGCAACTCATCATCCTCACCACCAAATTTTGGTAAAAGTTCTTTCTTCTCTTGCTTCTTCATATTGTGTGGTTCCATCTTGTTTGAGTGCCATCAAGGTCAGATAAGAAAGTGTCATTCAAATCAATATCAACGAGGAATTCGTCTCGTCAACGGCTTGAGTATGGTCTGCCTCCATTTCTCGTCTTCTGGCCATCGCTCTAGTAACAGCACAGGCTGGATAAATGTCATCATCTTCATCATCGCACATGACATCTGGAGTGATTTTCTCACAAACTATAGGATCTGGTACAACTTTTCCACCAGCTAAATCGTTGCCCAACAAAGAAATGCCGGGAAACAGGAAGAGTAGGTCGAACACCTACGATAACAGGTCCAGTAACTAAATCTGACTTAAAACTAATTTATGTAGGGGAACATCAATGACGCCTAGCTCCACACCCTGTAATAAAACTGACCCACCAGTAGAAGTCTGCCAGACAAAGGAAGCACGCCCTCTAAAATAAGTTGTGCAGCACCAGTATCTCTCAAAATCTGGACAGGTTTTATTTCCTAGAGTCACCGAGTGAAACAAATCCCTGAGACATAAAGGGCTTATAATCCTCCATAGAATCAATAGAACTGGACTGTGAACCCTGGACATCAGGAGTGTCAGAACAAATCGAAACTAAGGCTTTTTATTCCCTAACGCCGCACAAGCATGTGGTTGAGTTTTATCAAAGTCTTTTTTTTTTAAGTTTAAAGCATTCACTGATCAGATGCCCTTTTTTCTTACAATACCTCCACGTCGGAAGCGACCCTATTCCAGAAGATCCTTCAACACGTCCTGGACCGGACTTAGAACCACCTTGGGATGGAGACGGGGAATTTGTAAAAGACTGAGACCCTGAACCACTCTTTTTATATGTGTCTGAATTTGTAGAATTACTGCTATTTAGATCTCGATACAAAATTCTTTTTATGAGACAGAGCATAAGTATCAGATATGACTGCTGCCTCTTCAAGAGTTTTCACATTCTTATCTTCTAAATGTGTTTTCAAATCTTGAGGAACACACTCCTTAAACTCTTCTACCAGGATACTTGGCGCAAATTAGCAAAAGTTTTATCAAGTTTCTTAGATCTAAACCAATGATCGAATAAATTTTTTTCTTGTGAAAATTCAACAAATGTTTGGTTATCAAAATTCCTATACTTTCTGAATTTTTGTCTATATGCTTCAGGTATAATTCATATTTTTAATATTGCTGCTTTGACCTTCTCATAGTCTGAACTCTCAACTACCCCTAGTGCAGAGTATACCTCAGCTGCTTTGCCAACCAGTACACTTTGTAACATTGTTGACCAAACATTTTGTGGCCATTTAAGATTTTCTGCGACTTTTTCGAATTGGGGAAAATACTTGTCTACAGATTTTTTTAAATTTTGGAACTAATCTAATATTTTTTGCTGCGTCAAATTCATTCTTGACAAATGACGGTTCTGGTTGGTGCTGTAATTTTAATTTCTCTAATTCAAAGTTCATTGCACGTCTCCTCTTTTTGCTGCTAATTTGTCTAATTCAAATTTTCGTTCACGCTCTCGTTCTTCTCTTTTCTTTCTCGCTCTTCTCTTTCTTTTTCTCATCTTCTCTTTCTAATTTTTCTCTTTCAATCGCATTTTCTCTAACTCTAATTGAAACTGATATTCTGCCATTTTGTAAGAGCCTAACTCTGATTTAATTGTATATTCTAGAAGATCATATTTTTCAAAGACGTTTTCTTCTACTAGTTTGTTTGCAACCTTAATTCTAATGTCTTGCTTTTTTAGAGGATTTAACATCTAACCCAAAATGCAAACCTAATGCGATCAAGTCATCCTTTTTTTAAAGTATCAAAAACCTGAACACTTTAACTAAAAAAGTCTGTGACCGAAAACACCATGTTGATTTCTGCTGGCTTATAATCAAATTTAACGGTTCAATAAACAAAATTCTGACAATAAACTGCAAAAGTGCAAGAAATTCTTTATCCCGGACGAGCCCCCCAAATTTTGTTATGGGTAGAATTACCCGAAATGCCAGCAAAGATCAATAACACAATTTAAATTAAAATAGTTTATTTACAGTAATATATAATAAGTATATGAAACATAAATAAAACTTAGCAAGAATCTAATAATACATACATCAGAGTGTCCTTGCTGACAATTCCCCCTAAAATATATCCCAGTTATATCTCAATAGTGCTTATACGACAAAGTATTCACAATTATTGTATATGCATCGAATTGACAGGGTATTTATACATATCATAAATCTAGAATATTCTAGAAATTATTAAAACATGATATTACTGGAACAATCTGGACATACACAAAATTTAAGAATGTTCTAGATCAAATGACCGAACATGTTGACCTACTCTGGAATGTTCAAGAAACTTAATGTTACTAATTATATACATAATGAAACAACACCTCTCACAACAATCAGTGTTAGGAAAAAATTTTAAAGAAGCAAAGATTTCAGGTAACAACACTTTATTGTAACATAATTATCTTAAAACTGCTCAATATAAATTAAAAATAAAATGCTCATGCAGAGTTCATGATCACTATGGCTCAATACTTCATCTTCTGTATCTACAGCTCTGTGGTGCTTTGTGAGCTTGGCTTTCCATGTTGTTCAGCTGAAATCAAATTATAAAATTAAATAATTTGTTTTTTTTTAAAACATCTGCAACTAAAACCAGAAAAAAATGGGGGAAAAAAAATTATTTATGGTACCTGATGCTGAACATGTCAGTGTGGAAATTCAGCCACTTGCCCAGGCTATACTGTTCCTGGGGTAGGGTGCTCAATTTCAAAGCTACAATGAAATAGACAAGTGATAATAATAAAAATAAAAAAATCTAATCCATTGTTATGAGCTAATGATCATAAGTGTCAGATTTTTTATGTACTAGTATATGAATTTCTTGGAGGGGGGGGCATACTTACCTAATAGTTTCTCGGCTTCCTCGGCATCGTTCATAAGAGCTGTTAAAATAAGCCTCATCTGCACGTTCTCTGAAAAAGTAATGAAAGAAAAGTTAAGCACATATTCGGATAAAATATGAGAAGACATCGTAAAATGGTAATTGCACAAAAAGTACAAAAAATCAACAAAATTAACCTTTTCAAAATGATTTTTTTTCTGAGGTCTTGCATTGTAGTGTTGAACTGACGAACAAACTGAACACAGCCAACAAACGAAACAACAAAAAGCAGAAAGGCAAGAAAAAAGCAGATCTGTTGCCGAGAAGTAAGACAGAGCAGCAGCAGAAGTGGTTGTGGTAAAGCTGTAGACACTGTCACCAAGCGACAGCAGCTCACGCTAAGAGAAAGTTAAGAAAGAGAGAGTTAGAAAGTTTATAGAAATGAATGCTAGAACACAAACACAATAAAACAAAGAACACCATAGATAAAAAATTTATGAATTCCAGTAAGCAACTTACCCCTAAAGTGGCACCCATCTCATTACTGAACTGCCACACATCACTACCCAACCTGTAAACAAAACAAATAGCGTTGCTAAGGACGCTCTATTGTAAAGCAACAAATAATTTAGCATTTATCAAATATTATATAATATTATATTTTCATTTACTTACTTAACTATGTCTAGATGCAGGGCACGGCCTGTTGTTGACAGAAATGTGGGGAATGGCGGCAGATCTGATGATCTTGGAGGTTCTCATTTTGCGTCTATCTCTCTCTATGGTTAAACCTGATGCTGAATCCTAGAGCTCTCGTGCTTTTATGCTTTTTGGGAATATGCATGCTGTTGATTGGCTCAATTTCGCTCGTGCTGATTGGTTCCCACAAGGTGGTTTCCAATAGCAAAGCCCAAAACGTTGTACCACGTCAAAAACAAGATGGGGTTCGGTTTTTTGCTTCATAGTCTGCAATGTTTTGTAATATTGTCTAGTTTTTATAAATTCATCATATATGATTGCCTTAATTGGAATCATTAATTAATCATTTCTTTGAAAAAAATATGTGGATAAAGCAAACATCATGCTTTTGTCAATAAAATTTCATTAAACAACTGCCCAGATGGACCAAAGAAACCTACTAGTCATATTTGGGGATGTTTCCAGTATAGGTATTACAATAACTATTAATTCTTTGGCATATATTGATCAAAAAAACCATAAAACAATATTTAACAAATTTTTAAACGTTTTATTCAAAATTGTTTTTTTTAATAAAATGTTGCTCTTTCCCTAGAAAAACACGTGAAGGCTTGAATTTGATGTCGGAATTACAATTAGCTAGTTACCTTTTTTGAGAAAAAAAATAATCCAAACAAACCATTTCAACAAAGGAGTAAAAATCCATATGCAAATACACGGTATTGAGTGTATTTTATGTAAAATCCGTGTTCAACGTTTTGTTTACAAATGTGTTACTATGATCATGACAACCCATTCTGGCGGAATAATGCATAGTGAATTTTTCCAAAAAAAAACACGTTTTAATCCAAATATTCCATGGTTTTTTAATGAAAATCACTATCATTTTAAGGACTGTTTGCACATTAAATTATGAAATGTACAATGCAAAAGCTCACTTTTTTCAGGCCCGATTGAAATATGGTTGTAAAGAACATGTATTTTTCCTTAAATTTACATACACTTTATAAATGAACTTACCAACGGATGTAAATAAATCTCACTTTTAAGAAAACCCGCCAATATAAGTAGTGTATTCGGTGGAATAATTTGAATGTTTGACATTTTTTTTATTTCTTAAAGTGTGTTCCGTTTTTTTTCAATGTAAAGTCATATAATTATTATGGCGTAGTTTTGATAAGTTTAGACTAAATAAAATTTTTAAAAAATCTTTCTATTTGTTTTGTTACTTTATAAAAAAGGGAGGACGTTCCTGTATATAACACAACTTAAATCAATCACGTTTCACAGATATCCGAGATTTAAAACAAATCAATAACCGATTTTTTTCCCACTAGCCAATGAATAGCCTATCAGAACAAAAATTTTTAAAATGAGTCACTCTAACTATAGAAACGTGGAGATATTTAAATTAAATCGGTAGAAAACAAATTTTTAACGTAAATAGCATATATCATGTAAATCCACTTGCCTGTGTGTGAAGTTTGATGATGCTAATTTTCGTTAATTTCTTCTTATTTAAAAAAAAATTACTTCATTAGGGTAAATTGGGTAATTCCGGACAAAACTCACAAAGCGTTGTTCGGTGGGAGTAGCAGCGCGAAACTGATTGATGGGTAACCCAGTTTTGAATCGATGTGTGAATTATGCATAATCCTCGATAAATTGATGTTTTAAATTGTTTTCCCCCCGGTCTTATTCAAATATTAGCAAAATAAAACGTATTGGCAGAGTGGGGTAAATCCGGACACAATGCGGGAAAACCCGGGCAGGCCAATCTTGTATGGGGGGTAAACGTGCAATGCCAAATAATAGCAACAGAAGAAATAGATTATTTGTAAGATTTCAAAGATCCGCAGCACGATTATATAAAGCATCTCAGTTGTTAATAAGTTCTATTTAGAAATATTTAAAATTAAATTTTTAGTATCTTACATCTCGTTTGTTACTTTTGGACTTCAGAATCTATGGGGACGACCATTTGTTTTTATGAGAGGGGAGTTTGATTTTACAATAAATAATTTTTTTAAAAGAATAAAATATATACTATCAAATGAGAATAACATATTAAATAATCCATCCTGATTGATATGTCACTACCCCCCCCCCCCCTTCCCTTTACAAACACGCACATATGGATGTGTATGAAAATTCTACGATTTTTTTTGGTGTATAACTTTATCATTGTTTATTCATGTGGTGTACTGTGGCTTTATAGTAAATACTAATTTAGGCTAAAAGTACAGAAAAGACCAATAATTCGATTTTTTGCGTCAGAATATCATTTTTGCAAATTCTTTTATTCTAAAAACAAAAAGAATATTCATCAAAGAAAATCCCAAAAATGAGACAGAAGATGTACAAAGTAAGATTTTTTTGAGGTAGGGGGGGGGGG